CTCGAAGACAAAGAACAGCAAAGTAAAACAGCTAAGCTAAAAGCAAGTTACTTCTAGAAGGCAAATTCATGAGGCTTCATGCCAGACTTCAAGGAAAATCTTGCCGCAAGGTAGGCTTTCAAATCCGAGACCCCCTCGATGGACTTTATTAAAAAGGCGTTGTCTGCTTTCTGGTTTTCTTTCTTGTCTTCTGGCAGCTTCTTCTTATCCTCTTTTCCAGTTTCGAAGAACTCTCCCTCACCCCGTTTTTCCTCTGTAATTTCCCTTTTCTCGCTAATTTTCCCCCCGAACAATCTTGTGTATCTCTCCTTTTTCGATATATTTTTTGCTGGTTCGAATGTTCCTGTTCGGATGGTTTTTCACCCCTTCTATTATTTGCTTTTGCTTTCACCGAATGTTTCCCCCCTCCCCTTGTTGAACCTTGCTTATGATTTATATAAGCACAGATATAGACGTTGGAAGGTTGCAGCTGCCAGATATTCAGGGATTCTAGCCGAATTCTCGAGGGTGTTTGAAATGGTTGAGATACGTGGGGGAGAGGTGAGCGAAGAGAGCTGAGATTGCGCCGGAATTTTCGAGGCTGCCATTGATTCGAAGTTTGACGTAAAACTAGCCTTAGTTTTGTACCAATCCCGTGAGGCAGGTTCTAGTGAGTGAGCTGAGTTGGACTGATCAATTGGATCCTAGCACAAGACGGAACAAAAGAAAAAGTTTTAATATCTTATAGTATAAAATATGTATTAGACTATATAGTCTAATATCATATGTCCTATATAAAAATATATACTATACGATAAAACTATAAATATATATGATATATTTTCTATATATAAATATATTTATAAATATGTACGAAAATGTGTGTCTACACTAAGGACGAGATGTTGTATGCTTTTCGCGATATCAACCCTAGTAAAGAGCCTGGGGTTGATGGATTACAGACAAGTTTTTCAAAACAACATTGGCCGCTAGTAGGAAATGATGTAGTGTTTTGTTGGGAACTATTAAATCTCCTAAATGTTTTACATCTTCTTTGATTTTTTTTATAAATTCATCTACTTTAAAATCGTATTATTTAACATATATTATACTAATACGGTAAGAACCATTTTTTAAACGAATTAAACATTACTTTAAAATCGTATTATTTAACATATATTATACTGATACGGTAAGAACCATTTTTTTTGAATGAATGACACGTCAACCATTTATTTAAAAGAAAAGAAAAAACATCATTGGTGTAAACAAAATAAATGCTAAATAGCTAAGCACAATAAATAATAAAACAAATCCCAAAGAGACAGCATTGTGGCCGGCCTTTCCATTTTATCCCGTAAACGTCTAAAACCATTAATTATTAGGTCTTATAATATAGATTTAATATAAATTAGCGTCAGAATTGACCAACATGGTGTCGTGGTGTAGTTGGTTATCACGTCAGTCTAACACACTGAAGGTCTCCGGTTCAAGTCCGGGCGACGCCAATAAGAACAACCTTTAATTTTGCCTTTTCGTTCCTGTTAGAAGTGGGAAAAATAAAAGTACCGCCGTTGCCGGGGATCGAACCCGGGTCACCCGCGTGACAGGCGGGAATACTAACCACTATACTACAACGACGTTGTTGACAAGCAATATCTTTTACTGCTTTCGTTGTTGTTTTTGTTCAATGCAATACCGTTTCTTTTGATGGCACCGAGCTCCATGAACGGGAAGTTGGAGTATCCATGGAAAGCAATGGATCCATTTAGTTCGCCTCCAACAGATTCGATCCTCTCATTTATAAACCAATCACACAGAAGGACCTAGCAATTTAGAATAATGGTCAGATGAGATCTTTGAAGAGCCATTTGCTTTTGTATTGAGATGCATCTTGAGCAGCATTAACTTCTCCTTTAGCTTTTGTCCTAGATAATAATAACAACAGATTCGATCCTCTCATTTATAAACCTATCGCCAAGAATCAATATGATCGAAACAAGCAGCAATACAAAATAATGAAGCAAAACTGAAAATGAATTGTTCTTTTAGTTTGCTTGACACTTTAAATGCATAGTATTTGCAACTAATATTACCAATAACTAACAAAACCAATGTTTAAATGTTTGCAGAGACTAAATTAGATAAAATAGCAAAAGCAGATGCTTATATTTTAGGATTTGGTGCATCTTTGGTAAGCATCAATGTTTTTGAGAAGTAAAACTGAGGATGCTTATATTTTAGGCTTTCAATACTAAGCATGTATTCTTTCTCCCTCTAACTTGTTGCATACATTTTTATTTGTTTTATAGTTTTCTTTCATGTTCTTCTATTGAGATTGACCACGTTTTTCTCTCTCTATGAACTCTTAGTTGAAATTAACTTGATTTTGGAATTATGCTATTAGTATGGATTGTTCAGAAAGTTATATATTTCGGTCTTTGACCACATTTATAACTTTCGAGCTGCTGAAACTGGTTGCTGCAAGAGCATCTTTATTCAACTAAAGGGAAAAAAAGGAAGAACAAACTATGGTTGTGGCTGAGAAGGAAGAGAAAAGAAGAAGAATGAAATTAAGTAAACATGTACTGCGAGGAACAGTCGAGGAGAGTCAAACCACAAGTATCTTGTGCGAAGTCAGTCAGTTAATTTGTCACATCAGCATTCCATCACACATAGTGTTGGCGGCTAACGTCGAGTCCCGATTTATTATAAACCGATAATGTTAGTGATCAATTTGTTAGTTTTAAAATTTCAGTGAAGAAAAAAAATTATTCCAAAATTAATGACCATTTGTATAGTTCACCCTTATTTTTTTTTAGGAGAAGGAGAGTATTAATTAAATTTTGATGTGTGTTTTGATGCATTTCTAAATTTAGTATTATGTTCTGTCTCAATTTATCTTATATTTTAAGTATTTATATTTATGTCTTAGAAGTAGTAGACATTTAAAAATAAACTTTCCAATATGACACGTGCTGGTCCCAAGAGAAAGAACGCATTTCACGTATACATGCAGCTTGGAATCACTCACCTGGGTCCACATTGCAAAGATTGGAAGCAATTGGTGATGCTTTGCATCATTGGCAACATGGACGTTTGGATAATACAAAGAAGCGCATTTTGGAAGCTCAAAAAATCTATAAACAATGGATTAAATAGCAGGCGGTGGAATTTGGACTTACGCCAAATGATTAAAGCAAAACAACAATTACATATGCTGTTGGATAATGAGGAGCCGTACTGGGCACAAAGGTAAGAGTAAACTGGTTAGCAAAGGGTGATCGTAATACTGCATTTTTCCATGCTCGGGCAACTCAACGTCAAGAGGAGAACCGAATATCCAGGTTATTTGATACAGACGGAAATTGGACTGATACAAGAGATGGACTTTCTAAGGTCATAGTGGATTACTTTATAGACTTATTCTGTATAGCTAATGTCACCCCAAGCTCTCAAATTATCGACGCAGTTGATTATGCATGAGACGAGGTGTTGTATGCTTTTCGAGATATCAACCCTAGTAAAGAGCCTGGGATTTATGGATTACCGACAAGTTTTTCAGAATAACAATGGTTGCTAGTAGGATATGATGTGGTGGGACTTTGTTTGGATCTATTAAATGGTCATCAGGAGATGGCTATGGTCAATAAAACTGTCCTTGTCCTCATTCCTAAAGTCAAAAAGGTTAAATACGTGAAGCGAATTCGTCCAATCAGCTTATGCATGGTAATATACAAGATAGTGTTTAAGGTGCTCATCAACAGACTAAAACCAATTATGGCATTGTGTATTAGTGACAAGCAGGCATCCTTTTTATTGGGACATCAAATTTCAGATATTATATTAGTGGCACATGAATTGGTTCATTATTTGAATTTGTCGACGAATGGTAGAAATAAGGGGGAGACACTTACGTTGGATATTGAGAAGGCGTATGATAGAGTTGAGTGACAATTCTTGAAAACTATTACGGTCTAACTTGGCTTCCATTAGAGGTTTGTTGACATAATAATGGAATGTGTCACCACGGTTTCGTTTGTTGCACGTGTAAATGGATCTTTGACTAAGGAATTTACCCTAAGTACTGGTCTGCAACTAGGTGATCCATTATCTCCGTTTTTTTTGTTTCTTTTTGTGACTCACAGATTATCTGCTTTATTTCATAAAGCACAACGTAATGGAAATACTAAGGCATTCGCGCTTCTCAAAACGGACCCCAGGTATCTCATTGCAATTTACATATGATAGTTTGGTGTTTCTAAAAAAATTCAACATCAGAAGGTTAGCAAATCAGAGATATCCTAAATCTATCAACTGCTTCATCTGGACAATGAATCAATCTAACGAAGTCTATTATTTACTTTAGTCTGAAGACCTTATCAGAGTATCACACTTTAATCACAAATATATCTGGCATTCAAGAAGTGGACACTCTTGGGCATTATTTGGGATTACTTTTACATATAGGCAAGAATAAAATGTTAGCATTTGGATATTTACGTGACAGAGTGTTGACACGAGTAATGGAGTGGACAAAGAGACTCTTGTTTTATGGCGGTTGAGAAGCAGTTTTGAAAGTGGTAGCTCAAGTTCTACCTCATTATTGTTATCAATTGCCGGGAAACCTATTGAAAGAGAATATTGGAATTATGAGTCGATATTGGTGGACAGGGAAAATAGATAAAAGGGGTTGGTCGCTTGTGTCATCGAAAGACATTTGCAAGCCAAAGAGGGTGGGCGATCTAGGTTTCAAAAACCTCAAATCGTTCAATCTTGCGATGTTAGGAAAACAACTATGGCGTTTTATTAAAGAACCTGATTCACTATTTGCTCCTTTGTTTCAGGCTATGTATTATCTAAACAATGATCTTTTACACGCCAAACTTAGATTCAAGAGTTCTTACGCTTTATTAAAGTAGCTATGGTGCTTTATTATGGTTGGAATCAGCTCTTGCTACGCTTGGACTTGATGAGTTTGCAGGCATTCTAGTTCTATTTTGTAATGTTTAGAATAGAAGGAATTCCTTGGTGCATGATGGTTGTTTACAGCCTGCTTGGGTCATTGTTGCCAATACAAAGACACTGCATTATGATTTTCTCAATGCTCAACAGTACCATATTCTAATGTGTCATAGGTTTATCCTCCAAACCATTGGAGACCACCAACTGGTCAGACTATAAAGATAAATGTTGATGGTGCTTACAATTAGATAACTAAGATTGCAACCATGGGCGTTGTTGCCCGTGATGCCTCTAGTGTCATCTTTAGTGGCCTAGCTACTACGTCGGGCGGTATTTATGACCTAGTTTTAGCCGAGGTTCATAGCCTTGTTGCATCTATTAATATGGCTTTGAAGGAGGGATGGCGGGACATCATTATTGAGGTGGATTCCTCCATGGTAGTCAATTTGTACAATAATGCGAGTGGTGCAGATTATACGATCGGTATGCATATGCAACCTAAACGTGACAATTGTAATGGTTTTAATAGTTGTTTGGTAACATATGATATTAGCGAAGAAAATAAGGTTGCTCATACGTTAGCTAAACGAGCCCTCAATTGTAATGTTTCCATTTTTTTAGGCCGAGTTTCTTGAGTTCTTTGCAACTATTTTAAAGAACGATTTGTTTTCAGATTGCTTAATGGATTTTGGCACTTTTTCCCCCTTATAGGTCCCCAACCTTGTGATGGTAGAAGGGGTTTTTAATGAGACCATTTTTTCTTTAAAAAAATGATCTTGTGGTGTAGTTGGTTATCATGTAATTCTAACACGTCGAAGTAGCATACATGTTAATAATCCATTTTTAGTATTAATTAAGTTTTTATGTGTGTTTTGATCATTTCTAAATTTAATATTATGTTATGTCTCAATTTATCTTATATTTTAGGTATTTATATTTACGTCTTAGAAGTCATGTTAATAATCCATTTTATGCATATTTTAACACTTTTTATATTTGTTTCACATGCCTATGGTTTTCTGTGACACCATGATCATATATTTTAGTGGTTTTACATGTTTTAATATTTGCAAAGAACATTATATGCAAAGACTAAATTAGATATAATAGCCAAAGCTGTAACACGCCAAATTATAGGTTAGTAGTTTCGAGTTTACACGAGAGATAAGTAGACCTCGTAGAATTAATAATTTAATTTGTTGGGCTTAATTGGGTTGGAATTGGGCCCAGTTAGCCATAAAAAAAAAGAGATTTTTAAAATATGAAGGCTTTTTATCTCTTTCATCTCATTATTCTCTTCATTTTCTTTCTTTCTTCTCATTTTTTTTCTCATTATTCCTCTCCAAGTTCCTTAGCTCTAAAGTAAGTTTTGGGCATATTTAATGCTTCAATTTCACTTATAATTCCACCAACAACATCATTTTAATGAAGTCTTGGGTTCTTTCTAGCTAAAGAAAGAGTGAGTGGTTTTCACCCAAATCATAAAAGAAATGAGTGTGGCTAATCAAGGAGCTTCATTTCTGGATTTAAACATCAAGTTTTTGTATTTCTAATCCTTTGGAGTGTTAAGGTTTTCATAAGCATGGTGGTTTGTTAAGATTTTTATATTTGAGCATTTTAGGGTTCATACTTGATTCATGCCATAGATGACGAATTTGTTGTAAAACATGTGTTTTAATGACACTTTAAGACTCTAAGTAATCTTCTAAAGCTTTAGCACATGATTAAGAACCAAATTAAAACATTTGGGATGATTTTTAGGTGTTTTCTGATCCTAAATAAGATATTTATGGGTTCGAGTATTGATACTAGATGAACAATATCGATACTGGATTAATTAGGGAAAAATATTGGGATTTCAGGCAAGAGTATCGATACTATTGGGAGAGTATCGATGCTACTCTTATAGTATCGATACTCAGGGGGTACAATATCGATATTGAGCCCCATTTCCAGCAACATAATCCATTTTTAGTACCGATGCTCATAGAGCTATCGATACGACTCACTTTGGATGGTTAGATTTGACCTAATTAAGGCCCGTAATGGTAGAACTTAGTATGTGGGAGACGTAAATGGCCAAAGAGGGCCCAAAAACACTCTTAGGAGTGGGTTACAACTAGAGTAAACATAGCAGACGTAACGCGTCCAAGTATCTTCAGTTGAACATATAGAGAATACCTAAGAACAAATGAGCGTTATAGAGGAGGTATCAGAGAACGATATGGTGAAATAATCATATTATGAAATAGTAGGATCATGTATTGCAAGAATGAAAAAGAATGGTGGACGCACATTTTTTACTCTAATTCGAGGGTTAATTGAGGTAAAGTTTGGTAAGAGCGAATAGAGTATTGCTACATAGTAATAAACTCAAATCAAGTATCAAGGTAGCTAGTATCACAGACAATGGACAACAAACACAATGATCATAAAAAATCATGAAATGCATATAGACATAACTGACTAAAACACCCTTACGTAACGAATGACCATAATAGAGAAGCTCAAAAAACTAACAACAATAACAAACTAATGTGAGGACAATGAGATACTTCAGTAGCTTAGAGGGAATTTCATCGATGATATATGACATCGGGTTACCTTAGTTAACTAGTGTCAGATAACTATGTGAGACCATATGCTAGTCAGTATTGCATTCAGATAATGTATAATAGAGTCAATATTGAACTCAGATAATGCGCAACAGAGTCTGTGTTGCATTCAGATAAATCTCATGAATGTCAGTGTCTCATTCAGATAATGCATATAAGTGTCAATGTCGCATTTAGATAATGTATAAAAATTACAATTTTTAGGATTAGAGACCCTCTAGAGGTGTACTCATGGCGAGGCCCTTAGTAGAGAATTAAGGGAAGTATGAGACCCTACTTTAGTGATAGAACAATTAAGCCCTAAGTATGTAACACTTGATTAAGATCATGCATGTACCTACTGCTTAGTACCATATCCTAACATGCTTATGTTTATGAGACTTATAATGCTACTCTAGATTAGTGATTTTACTACTAGGCTTTGTAAGCCTAGCGTTAGGATTTTTCTATTTGCAGGTAATAGCTAGAGTCTTTTGTGGAGCACCATCACAGATGGGCTTCCAACATCTCCTTCAGGGTATTGTACTATAGCTTTAGTGAGCATATGTATTCATATGACCCTTATATTGTGTTCAAATTTATAAATCAGAGTTATATTAATTCTATTTTAAATTACGTGTCACAAAGCTTCAGTTTATAAAATGTTTTATAACTATTATTTATGTCTTTTGTGATATCATTCAACATGTTTGAAATAAAAATAATCAAGTTTTGAAAATTAGGGGTTGCCTCGACGGCCTAATGTGACACTTTAGGCCCATTCGAGTTTAGGGTGTTACAAAAGCAAATGCTTTTATTTTAGGCTTTGGTTTATCTTTAGTAAGCATCAAGGTTTTTGAGAAGTAAAATTGAGAATGCTTATATTTTATGTTTTATCTGTTGAGTTAATCGATCAAGTAAAGTACCCAATAGGGGGTAAATTGGCAATAAAAATTTGTTGGAAGCTCAAGTAAGAAATAAGAAATTGACACAAGGGATTTAGAGTGGTCCAACTTCCTTAATGAATTCTACATCCACTACCTTAGCTTCCTAACTAAGGATTTCAATAAATTCACTAATTTTTTATAACCTTTTAGGACAAGATGTAACCTTACACAACACTAAGACTTATATCACAAAGTGTTAAGAGTTCAAACCTTCCTAAGAAGAAATTACAAATTGAACAAACTTTGAATATCCTCACAAAGATAGATTGTTTGCAAAATGAAGCTCTCTCACACACCCAAGACCACTAAAATAAAATTGACAATGAATAGAATAATGTTGAAATCAAAGAAAGACACAATGGAATACAAATTTGGCTATAATTGCTCTTTGATTATTGGAATAACTTTCTTATCTCTTATTGACTGTTTGAATACCCCTTTTATATGTCCTATAACACCCTAAACTTGATTGGGCCTAAAGTGCTACATTGGACTGTCATGACAACCATTAATTTTCAAAAATTGTTCATTTGTATTTCAAAACATAATACATGGTATCAAAATAGAAATACAAGTAATTACAAAACATTTTATAAATCGGAGCTACGTGACACATAATTTAAAACCAAAATAATAAAACTCTAAGTTATAAATCTGAATACAATAATAAGGGTCCTATGAATACATATGCCCACTAAAGCTACAATACAATACTTTGAAGAAGATGTTGGAAGTCCTATTGCGACGGTGCTCCACGATTAGCTCTAGCTACTAACCTGCAAATGAAAAACATCTGAACGATGAAATTACAAAGGCCAACAATATAAATGCTAATCTAGAGTAGCCTTGTGAGTTTTATAAACAGAAGCATGTTAAAGACATGGTACTAATAATTAGATACATGTATGATCTTAATCAAGTGTTACCTACTTATGGACTAACTTTTCTATCACTTAAGTCGGAGTCTCACGCTTCCCTTAATCCTCTGATAAGGTGATAACTCCATCAAATATCATGCTTTAAGGTCTTTTTACTCAAGTTATTGATTTTCTAAAATCCATTTTCATAGCATTTAGAAGAATTTAGTTGCATTTAGATCATGTAGTTGCATGTGGTGGAAAAATCTTGTTGCAACATAAAATTATTGATTAAACTGATGTTGCTGAGGAGATAGTTCTTGTTGTGGTGATGTGCAGCAAAGAAGAGTAGTTGAGGAGAAATTTTTGCTGTAGCATTCTAAAGAAAAGGACAATTTTTTGCAGCGGCAAAACTTTGCAACAATTACTAGGCGCAGAAAAGAACAAAGAAGCTAATGTCATATTGCCAACTGTCCAAGGCTCACGTGAATGTACTGACCTGTTGATATTTTTGGGACCACATGCTAGCCTGTCTCATATTCACGTATAAGATATGATTCCTAGGGTATAAAAGGGAATTTTAAGAGCACAAAACCCTAGAAATTTCCCACTATAAATGCTTAAAGATACCATACATTTAAAGGGATTTTTGGAGGATTTATTTTGGAG